ACTAATGAACCAATAAGCTCAGCCAAAGCAATGTTAGTGATTAGGATGTAACTGATAGGCTTGCAGCGAGTTAGGTAGATTCCACGTAAAACTAATGTATTCGCAGCCACGGAAGGGATGAGGATGACAGCTGCAGCTACGTTGAGGTAAACGTCGACTGATCTTGGAACGTCGTGCAGCGGCTTCGAACTATAGCAATTGTCACTGGTGTTGTTCACTAAAACAGAAAAAGGCCAAATTCTTGTTTTTGTTTTCACTCTTCAGTATGAAATTGACCGATAACAAAACGAAAAACGGGACTGGGTCCAAACTTCAAAATCTAATTAAATAATGGTGGTTCAGGAAGAATATCCCCATCATGTGAGAGAGAACCATAGATATAAAATGCTTACTGACTGAGTTTCATGAGGTTTGAACTTATAGCAATAACACTTCTTTGTAATTTTAGAAATCAATGTAAAAATATATATATATATTCCAATTTTTAATGACTTAAACTTTCTGAAACTTTAAACTTTAGCTAACTTATATGTGTTTTATCTATCGATTTCTGTAGATTTCTGTAGATTGTATCACTTTAAAAAAAATCAGTCCCAGTCCCCTACTCTTTTCGTTATCGGCCAATTCAAAAAAAATAAAATTAAATTAAAAAAAAAAAAATAAAAAATAAATAAAAAAGTGATTGAAATTTTAAAAACGGGGTATAGAGTTTCGCCTTACTTTTTGTATGAAGTGTCTCTATTAGTCTTGGTTTTTGTTGTATTTGCAACAGTAAATATAAACTCGCTGTACTCTTTCGTCTTCTTTCTTTTCAATTTGAGCGATTCACTGCAAAGGGAAAAAAAGTCGTGATACGACAGAGTTTGAGGGATGGCCAGCACGTGCTAAACCATGTGGGAAGTACAAAAGTATTGATAAGCATTCCCTTGCACATGCGCAAAACCACTGAAGAATTCTAATATTTGTAGTTGTCACATTAAAAATATACCAGTGAACCAACCAAAATTGTGGAAAACTCTTTTATCCTATATTGGATAGATCGAAAGATAAGTTTATTTATACATCTCTTTTATTAAATAACTGACTCGCATGAAATTTGGACACATCAATAAGAATTTTCAGGGATATCATTACATTACGTGTAAGACTGACTTTTTGATATCGAACTAATAAGAAAAAGTAACGCTTGAATCCGACGTCAGGATTGGACATGACATTTTCTCATCATTCAAGTCAAGGTAAACTAAATAAGTGAAAATGTACATTAAGTTATAAAGAGCAAAAAATAAAAATAGTCTATTGTCCAAAACCAATGAGTCTATTAAAAACTTTTGAACGAGCTCGAGCTGAGTCTGATTGGACACGTTCAGCTTGGGTTTTTTTCTTTTTGACCAGAAGCATTTAGTAGATCATCCAATGATTCTTATGTATTATTTTAAGACGTTTGAACACATTATGTATAGTTAGGTAGATTTTTAATCAAAGTCTTCGTTGGGCGTCGGTCATATTTCCTTCACAAAAGCCTTCATTCATGGAATTTCTTTTGAATATGATCTCCTAAAGTGTTTTTTCTTTTGAATCGTGATTGTTATAAATCATGTTTAAGTAATGCCCCGAGTAAGAACTAGGGAAGCAAACGGCACAGGAATGCAAGAAGRTGCTAATTGCGCATTGTATAATCCATCCATCCCATTGGTTAAAACATGAAAATCTGCTATAATTTCACAAGTTAGCGAATTTTCTAATATTTAATTTAATGTCTGTTTTCGCTTTCATGAAAGCTTTCTTTAGCTTCAATATTAAGGCAATTCTATGTGGGGAACATTGCAAATTAGAAGCATCTTTTGGCTATTGTTTTGAGTGCTTATGATTGGATAAGAGCTTTTAATACAAAAGAAACTTTGTTTCAAAATAGAGTTTATCCACATTTTATTTCAAAAATGTGTTACCCACCGATGGATATATAATCAGCGTGAAAACCAAGACATTCGTACATGAGTAGTAGGCAAAGGATGTTTCGAGCCCCGTCCAGTAGGTGGAAGGTGGTAGGTGGTAGGTGGGTATGCTAATGAAGTCAAAAATGATAGGGGAGGGGTGGTGAAAACGAGTAGGTGGTATAAATTATTTTAGTAGGTGGGTATGCTAATGAAGTCAAAAGTGATAGGGGAGGGGTGGTCAAAAACGAGTAGGTGACATTCATTATCATAAAATTGTGGGCGATCTAATTATGCTGTGTTGGTAAATCGAGGAGGGTAATTATCATAAATTGTGGGCGACTTTTGTGTTGGTAAATTGTGTGCATCTTNTACAACATAAAATTGTCTCTTTGCTATTGAACTACTGAGTTATTTATATTTTGCTTATATTTCATTTTCACGAGTTTTACCTCTTTTTTTCTTAAACAATGTTCAATTTCGTGTAAGTTCAAAAAACAAAAAAATTGAAGTAGTTATATATCTTATTATAGATTGTCGAAGTAGAGAGAAAAGATCAACACGGTAGCGGCTTTTCACCCACGAAGGTAAGCAACAAGATGTTTGATATTATATGTATATAATTACGTTTTTTCACATTATTGATTAATATCTGTAATATAGAATCAGTCGCTCGAATATACAGTTAATTAATTACAAATAAAAAAAATATAACATTTATTATTAAATTAAATATAACTAGACGATCATGGATCGCTTACGTGGGCTTCCTGTGACAATGGTGTTTCATTTTCACAATATAGTCTTTGTTTGTAATAAGTCAAGACAGAATTAAGTTAATATGTTATCAATTTATTACATCATAATTTTTTACCGAACTGAACTCTAAGTAAATTGGATACCATGTCTTTCTCAGTTTTCCAAAATAACTAGCTCGACTTTACGCTCAAGAGCGTCTATATTATTCGAAATATCTGATAGGTCATATAGGTCACATAAACAATAGAAACGGTACAGTCTTGGCAGTATAACTTTGAATAATATTTTGATCATTTTAATCATGTATCTGTATCTTGTGTTTCTGTTCTTTTTTATTTTGTGTTTATCATTAATTTGTAAATCTGGCGTTCTGTGCCATCATAAAGATGTACCTTAGCCTTCTAATGACAGTTCAAATTTTTGGATTTGTCGAAGTTTTTCAAGTTAAACAATCATCAAAACAAACAATAGAGAATTAAAATGCTTCATACACAATATATATTTTGTATACAGAGTTCAGTAAAGCTCACACGTGCAGTTTTCCGAACTTCAAACACATCGTTAGTTTAGAAAATGGCATCAATATTTTTCAGATGAGGTTTGATATGCTTTCTTCCATCGAATGATTGTTTTCTGTCAAAGTATGAACCTTAAATATCCATGTGATTTCTTATTTTTGAAGATTTTGTGTTTGACATCTTCGAGTCGGCGGTAGAAAATGCCCAGTCATTTCTGCACGAATCATCCGCTAATCTTGAATTATATACCTCAATCCATGTCTTTTGGATGGTAATCAGTTGATTTTGTAAGATTTGTTATTATCCCTAACGGTGACCAGCAAATCCGCAATATGATAAGTCAACACTGGAGTAAAATTCGTACCAAACAGAGACGCAGAAATAGGTTACAGGATTGGTACAACTTTAGGCTGGAATCCTACGACCGCCAAGCATTCCATCAGTACCTCCAACAGATATTAGCTGATCAAACCACTGTATTCTGGTTGAACATGTCCTTTGGGTTTGTTCTGCGTAACACTGAGACMGGYRACCTCCAGTAYTWYCATGCATCCCATAACAACCATCGCGTGTTTGATAAGCCCTTCCTTATCGGTAACGTGAGAGACATTGACAGAGTAGCAGATACCATCCATGAACTCGATATTGCAGAATGGGTCAAGCAACAGCGCCCCAACAGCAAATGGGTGGTTGATGTAATAACCAACGTGACCTTCTTTGTATCCAAGGTCCGTGATCATCCCATCGGTAGATCTGGACTTCTTCCAGAGTACATTATGAACAACAGAGGACTTTATGCATTAGACTGTGACAAAAAGACTGGGAAACCATTTGATGATAATTTCTGCTTCTTTCGATGCCTTGCCTTGCATATTGGTAGCCGTGTCAGGAGTTTAGAAAGAGATACTAAAACCCTATTTGAACGGTGAGTTATTTTATAGTGTCAATTAATTAAAAGATTCCTTCAAGTTAATAAGCATCCATAGGTAGAGTGCTCGCACTTAAAGCGTGAAACAAATAGTACTAATTACTGCTAAATAGTGTTGATTATACAATAGGAAACAAAGAAATTTGTATAATTTATCACCTATTTTGTAGTATTTATATTTCACGCATTTAGTGCGAGCACTCTATTCACTTATACATTGCTACTTTCAAATTTTGTATTGATTATCATTAATTCCCTTTTCTTCATTAATCTTACTTATTACAGATATTTACAAAGCTTTCCACAAAATGAAGGGTTCCAAGGAATCAATTTAGAGGATCTACCAGAGCTAGAGAAGCTGTTTCAACTGAACATTGCCGTCTATTCTTTAGAACCTGAATGCAACGAAGAAAATGTGCGACCTAAAATCATTGCTCGCCTGGTCAAGCGTTCACATCACACCTTCCCTACCACACTGAATCTGAACCTACACAATGACCATTTCTCGTACATCAAGAGTCTGGCAAGATATTCCAAGTCTTACCAATGTTCTAAATGTGGGAAATACTGGAAAAACGGCTTCAAGTTAAACCGCCATGAACTCAAGTGTGAAGCCAAGGTCCGCTACAGCTTCCCTGGTAGTACCTATAAAACACCCAAAACCATCTTCGACTCACTGGAAGATGAAGGCATCACCATTCCTGATCATCTACGTTTCTTTCCCTACCGGGCCACGTTTGACTTCGAGTGTATGTTTAGTCAGGACCAGTTACCTAAGAACAGCGATAAGTTATCATGGCAAGTTAAGCATGTGCCACTTAGTGTCAGCGTATGTTCTAATGTTCCTCAATACCAACAGCCTCGGTGTTTTATTTCCTCTGGCGATAGTAAAGAACTAGTGCAAGAAATGGTACAGTACCTGGTAACGATAAGCAAGGAAAGTAACAGACTGATGAAAGAACAGTTTGCTGATGTAATGACGGCGATTGACGAAAAGATAAAAGACAAAGACGTAAATGAGGAAGAAAAAACTGAGAACGAATACGACTTAGAAACTGACGATGATGATGATGATGATGACGATGATGATGACAATGATCGCGATATTGATGTACTGGATAGTGACAATGACGATGATGAAGAAGTAGAATCAGAGAATGAAGAGGACCGCGCCTTCATTGATGATAATTCAGTGGATGATGATGATTACGACCCCGCCTTTTACAGAGCATTGGACCAGGAGCTTGGTGACAGGTTCCCAACCGCGCAAAGAGATRAGAACAAAAAAGAAAAGAAACGACAGHACCCTCTAGTGAAACTGAAGGTATGTAGTCATAATATTATCATAAACGATTATATTTTGTAATGTAATATTTTGCATACTATGTTTCCAGATATGATACTTTACTTAATTTTGTTGGATATTATGGTATATTAACTTATGTCAAGTTTTTGACGATTTTATAACACTTTCATTTAACGTTAACAGGTCAGACTTGAAGATTACTTGAAAGAGCTGCCTGTGGTTGGTTTCAACTCAGGAAAGTACGATTTGAATGCCACCAAGGAATTCCTTTTTCCTGTTCTAACTGAGATGGAACAAATCCAGTTTGCCATCAAACGGAACAACAACTGTATGTGCCTGAAGAC